CCCAGCGAGTCCCAGTGGGGCTGAGTACGTGCCAGGACGGGCCCCAGACTCCAGCCCCAGTAACGCTGCAGTCACTGGTGATGGGCTGGGTTGGCTGGTGCCGCCTCAGGCCTAGACCGGGCGGCTGGGCACAGGCCTGCCCCTGGGCTCTGGGACCCTGCTGCCTGCTGACACACACGGGCCATAGCACCTGGAAACACAGCTGGGGAGGGGGGTTCAGTTCCCCAGGTTTCTGGGGGACGGCTGAGCCCCCCCCACCCCCATGTGCCTTCTAAGCGCAACTCCTAACACCATTCTGCGTGCTCACCATCACCCCACGCACTCACTCACCCCCGCCCCCTTCCCCATAGACGATCCATAGCTGCTGCACCTGGGGGCGGGGGAGGGCAACAATCCCAGAACCGCTCAAGTCATATCCCCCCTCAGAGACCCCCCCATCCCCAGAAAGCAGCAGCCGCTTCCTTTGCGGCTCCCAGCTGGTCCTCGCCCTGCCTGGCACAACTCGCCAGCTCAGCTGCTCCACTGGGTGTTGCCCCCACCCAGCCACATCATGTGACGAATAATCGGGGTGAGGGGGGCATATGACAGTCCCCCCACACACACACACATGCCCCCTCCACACATCACCTCTGCCGCCCTCCCGCGCCCCCGCCCCTTTGGCAGAATTGAGCCACCTGCTCCCTGTCCCGCAGCAGCGGAATAACCCCACCCCCCCCCCCCCCCCCGCGCCCATGCCAGCGTCCTGCCCGTTTTGCCTTGGCTCAGTTCACAGGCTGCAACACGGGCAAGCCTGGGGCGACTCCCCTCCTCACATCAATGTGCCCTGCCTGGGGCCCGCCAGCCACAGCCCAAGCAGCGCCATGGTGTGGTGCCCATGGGGCGAGCCCACCCCCACCCCCCCACCACAAACACACACATATTAGCGCCCAGGCAGGAATGAGGGTGCCAGCAGATGCACCCATCTGAGTAGCAAGGGCTGGCTTACCACGCCCGTATGATGACTGGGGCAGGTTCCTGTCTCCAGGCTAGTGGGTCAGGCTCTCTGCAGACTCAGGCAGCTATGGCTCCATCAGTTATACCCGGGTCACAGTTCCATGTTTTTTTTACTCCCATAAATCCTAGAAACGCACAAGCTGAGTGGCTGACGTTATCATGCGCCTAGGCCCTAGTCATGATGCACCTTCATCTGGCCCTGGGCTTGGTGCCTTGTGCCCCTGCCCCCCCCCCCCCCGGCCTGGCACCCTTACGCCGTGTGACATGACGCTCTGGCCCCGGCTGTGTAAGGGACCCAAGCGCGTCTATCAGAAACATGGTGCAAAGCCACCCGTTTACCAGCCAAATGTAATCTCTGTGGTATCTGCTTGTCGCCATGGCGATTAGCCTTGGTTGAAGTTTTGCACCCATTATTGCCTGGGTCTAAGTGGCCAGGTCAGTGGTGGTGAAGGCCTGAGGACACTAGCGAGGGCCGGGCCGGGCTCGGTAAGCCCCAGCCCATGCTCAGCTGCTGCACCTGCTTCCCCACGGCCGTGTCAGGGCCCAGCATCGGGGTGTGCGCCTCCTACCCTGCCCGGCCACAGCCCTCGCCGATGATGTGCGCAGTAAGGCAGCCGCTGATTAGCAAACGGGGCCATGCTGTGAACACCCGTGTGCACGGCACTGCCCGGAGCCTCACGGCCCAGACCCAGTAACCGGCGCTCAGTGTGTGGTGAGTTGGGCCCAGCGCCACACTGGTGTTCAGGGCCGGCGTCAAAGCTCACAGCCAGGATGAACCTTCCCAGCCAGCTCCCCGCTTTGAACCCAGCTCCTGCCACCCGTGTTGGTAACGTGATTAAAAGAGTGACGCCAGCCTTCACCCTGGCAGGGGCCCGCTACGAGGTGTCGGCCCGGGCGCACCGTACTGGCTGAGGGGAGGGGAGGGGGCACCACACAGTGTGCGCTAGGGGCTGACGTGCGTTTTCCTGCTGGTGGCAGCCCTGGAAGCGTCCCGGTACTAGGTCGGTGTAACGGGAACGTTACCTGTGCCTGGGCCAGCCCTGGACATGGCCGGTGCCGCTGGGGTGTGCATGGCAGAGCAGCAAGCGGCATTGCCAGCCACCGACTGGAGGAGGGGCCGGAGGTGTCCAGCCTCCTGGGGGCTGTTTATCTCTGCCACTGATTTGCTGCATGACCGTGAGCACATCACTTTACCTCGCTGTGCCTTGGGGCCCCAGCTATAGCATGGGGCCAATGGTGGTTGTGTGAGGTTGTGTCACAGGTCTGTTCTACATAGTAGTGGGCCCAAGCCGAGCCTGGGACCCCCCCGGAGGCCGATTCAGGCCCATTGTGGCCGCCTTGCTCCAAGTGCTCAGGCTTCTGGGCAAAGCCAGTTTGCACTGAAGGGCACAGCTCGAAAAGGTCACCTCTGACTTTGGCTTTACTGGGGACTCTGCTTTAGCCAGGGCGCTGGTGTGCTGCTTCCTCCAGGGCTGGCAGGCCGGGCACGGCTGGGCCGCAGCTGACTCCGCTCTCACAGCGTCACAATGCTTGTTAATCTCCTCCCCTTCGTTAAAATGTCAGCGTAATGAAAAGTGGATATTGCTTCTCACGTGTTCTCAGTCACCCTTTAGTAATTCCTGCCCTGAGGACCTGGAGGAACTTTGGAGCCGCGCGCGTGTGCTGTGATTTGGAAACAGATCAGTTCAGCGACTCAACTAAGGGGCAGGTTTAGTGCGGAGGCCATCAAACAGCGTGAAGAGCGGCTGCTTGTCGGGTTCAAAATGAGGCGAAGGTGAGCGATGCTCAGACCCAGCACTGCCAGGCTGGTTATGTCTGTTGCCAGCTTTTTTTTTTGCCTTTAAAAAAATTAAAAGCTATTCCTTTATTAACAGGCAGCCGTGGAGTTAAAAGTGCAATTGCATTGCCCCCCCGCATCCCATCCCCACTTAGCAGAGTGGACGTGTGACCCCCACCCTCCTGGGTGTGGTGCTCTGACCCCTCTAGTGGCACCGAGACCGCTTAGAGAGAGAGAGATTAATGAGTCTGCTACAGCCTGAGCTAAGGGCCAGGTGGTGTTTAGCTCATGCAATAGAGGCTCATGCACTAAGCTCCAGCGCCCCCAGGTTTGAGCCTGACGACCGGCGGTCTGTCGCATTACAGATGGATGAATAGTGTGTATAGAAGCAAAAGCACCAAGGCTGCTGTGTTAATCGCAGGGTTGTCATGTGCCATGCTATTTACCGTGTGGTCATTGGTGCTAAGTTGTGGGGTAACTGACGATTCACTAAGCCCCAGTCTACACACACAAGTGGTGTTGATTTTACCAAACCAGGTTGGAAACTTATAGTAAAATGGATACAGCATCCACCACAAATTCATCGCAGGGTTAGTGATCTTCCTACGTGGGGGCCAGCCTCGCCCCACCCTCCCTTGAGCAAGCAAACACAGGTGCAGAGACAGGCTTTGCACCGCCTGAGAGCAAGGCCTGTGACTGGCCCCATGCTCTGAAGAGGAGCAGGCGGGGGGAGGCACTTTACATCCTTGGCCCCATACATGGCGCTTCATATGACCTATAGCATTGTACTCTATAGGGGGACCCCTCCCAGAGGAAGCGTGTGCTGGAGAAGGGCTCGTTCTGAGCTGCAGCTCAGGGCAGAGCCGAGGTAACCAAGAACACGACCAGATCTGAAGCATATTCAGACACATGCAGGGTTAGTAAGGCAGATAAGCCACGGCTGCTCTCACATCATGCGCTTTTAACTGCGCTGCCTGGTAACTCTCATTCAGCCTGATCAAGCTGGTGAGAAGAGTGTGTGCTTGGGTGGGTACATTCCTATGGTGACTTCGCCCAGCTGTAAGGTGCGTTTTCACTGTCCAGGAGAGTTTCTCAATGTTCAGACTTCCCAGGAGGAAGGCTGTGAATAGCTGAGCCCAGGGCTGGTATTTACACGTGTATTGTCAGCATATGATGCAGCGATTCCTTGTGTAACATGGATTTTACTCTGTGCGGCTCATTGAACCACAGACACGTTACGCTAGAAAGTACAGACTGGCCTTAGTGCCGCTGAAGGCCCTAGGTCAAGTGCGACTGTCGCAATTCTGCCAGACATGGAGATTAGGCTGTCGAGCTCCCCAGGGAAATCTGCAGCCCTTCCTGCAGGCTCTGTTCCACAAGGCCTGTCTCTGTGACAGCCTGTGGGGCCAATGGGGATTTGCTGGCCTGGCAGGAGGTGGGTTTGGGCAGTGGCTAAAGGCGCCCCAGGATTAAAGCCCCTGTACTAATACCCCCACCCAGCCTCTCTCACGCGCACGGCCCCACAGCAGCTGTCCTAGAGACTGAGACAACCAGGTCTCTGCAGCGCTTTGTGCCCCCCTCTGGAATTGCTGGGTCAGGACCGAAAACACGGCCTCAGCTAAAGAGCTGGAGCACACCCTTCACACACCAGCCTGCAAGACCCTCACTTCCTGCCCGCCCCATTAACCCTTCATGCCGCACCGCACAAGCCCATCACTGAACGCCTGGCGTCCCCAGGGTGCAGGGTATCCCACCTTCGTCTGCTGCTGCTGAAGCCAGGACACTGGGCTACATCCACCCCCGGTGATTCCTCCGAGACGGAGGAATCTGGGAGAGACCGGACAGGACCTGGAGTGCTTGGGGGTGCTGTGCACGGCCGTCAGAGAGCGCTCTGCCGGCATGGGCTGGAACACTAGAGGCTTTACGTGGGCAAAAGCAACTCACCGCTGCCAAGAAAGAACAATGGTCTAATGAGGCTCCTTATCTCTGCCATTTATACTCAGCCGTACACACAGGGGCAATAATAACTGCCATGAACACATTTTATTATAGACCTGACTCAGGACTCTCGTGCAGTTAAACAGAGTGGCGATGGTACGTAGGACGCCGTTTTTTCATTTACCCAACAGCTGTATGTCAGCTACTTTTTAATCACCATAAGAAGGAACCAGACCCTTATCAAACCTTGTCACCCAGGGCATCAGCTGTGCTATGGAAAACTGACACAGTGTGTTTTACATCTGCACCTTTATTCTAGCATAAAAGGTTAATGGAAGAGCTAGTAAAAAAGAACACACTCGTCCACACTCTGCATGGTTCTAAGATGAGAACAGCAGTAAAGCTTTTAGCACTAGGAAGAACCAAGGGAAGGCTTTAAAGCTCATTTGGATTCAATTTTGGTCCAGGAGTAACCCAGTGTTAATGCAGCTTTGTAATTTCATCAGCACAAATCAGTCTTTCCAAAGTCTCGTTTGGCTTTTATTCTAAATGAGGCCAGGCTGGAGACGGCATCTTCTCGCCCTGCATTAGACATAGAAATAGGTCACCGAGTGATGGTCCCTGATGTAGGCTACCGTAAAGAACAATGCAATGCTCATGAACACTGTGCAACCATTGACGCTGTCAGTATCAAATGAGGTGCTATCCCTATCCCACAGGGCGGCGCACCCAGGACGTGAGGGCAGGCGGTGCTGCGGGCCGTTGCACTGACCCGGCATACTTTGCATGTATGTAGGGGCTTTCACCACTCTAACTAATTGAGCCTCACAGCACAGTGGGAGGAGGGTAAATATTATTAGCCCCATTTTACAAGTAGGGAAACTGTGGCATGGAGGAGCGACATGCTTTGCCCAACCTCACGTAGCCATGTCAGTGTCTGAGTTGGGAGCAGAACCCAGGTGCCTTGGTTTAACCACTAGACTGCACTTCCTCCCTGAGGTGAGAGGCCTTGGAATGTTCCTGGAACAGCTGGAGTGAGGCACGGGAGCTCAGCGCACAATGGGGTGGGGACACCTTTGCATGGGGCACTGGTGCACACACTTCACGAGCTGCTGCTCCCATCACCCTGCGGAGCGACGGGCGGCCTAGTCCTCGGGGATCGGCGTGTTGCAGTTCCCGTGGTAGATTCTGACTTGGCCCTCGCACCGGAAGTACTGATCGAACACGTCGCTGTACCCGTGCTCCCTCCACCAGGAGCAAAGCTGCCGGTTCCAGGTGCAGTCCAGCACGTGGAACAGCTCGGGGTGCTCCATGCCAATCATTGTGAAGAAGTCCTGGTCCCCCAGGTGGCCCTTGAAGTGGTACTTCTCCGTGAGCTGCCGCACCATGTCTGGCTCCAGCAACTGGTTGTAGAGCTGGGACTGGCGCATGGCTTCCAGGTTGAGCAGCATGACCCCGCTGTTAAAGCCAGGCAGGCCGTCAGGAGGGGGTTCGCCCACCTTGGTCTGGGGGTTCTCACGCCGGAACTGCCAGAACGTGTGCCTGGAGAAGGGAGAAGAGCACAACACGGGGGGTTACAGACCACAGGGCAGATGGCTCCAGCAGCAACCAGGTGTGAGCCCAAACCTAGCAAGAAGCGTTAACTCCACCAGCTACAAAAATGCACTCTGTGCCCCAGGGAAACGTGCTCCCCCTCAGCATTGCCCCTGCAGGACGAGATAAAACTCCACCCCTGGGACCCATTCCTTGCAAGCCCACACTTCTCCGGACTCCAGGTGTTCTGGGTGCACAAGGAATGCAAGCCTGAGCTCACACCTGCTTCCGAGATTCCTAGATTCAAGCCCAGAAGGGATTATGGGACTGGAAGGGACCTCAAGAAGTCATCGAGCCCAGCCCCCTGCACTGTGGCAGGGCCAAGTAAACTTAGACCAGCCCTGACAGGGGTTTGTCCAGCCGGTTCTTAAACACCTCCAGTGACGGGGATTCCACAACCTCCCTTGGGAGCCTGTTCCAGAGCGTACCCACCCTGAGAGTTAGAAAGATTTTCCTAATATCTAACCTAAATCAGCCCGGCTGCAGATTAATCCCATTACTGCTTGACCTACCTTCAGTGGACATGGAGAGCAATTGATCCCTGACCTATTTATAACAGCCCTTAACAGATTTAAAAACTGGTACCATTATGGTTATTTAGTCTGACCTCGTGCATAACACAAGCAAGAAAACCTCACCCAGTAATTTCTGTGTCAAGCCCATAATGTTTGGCTAAGCTAGAGCAGGGCTTTTGGGAAGACATGCTGTCTTCATTTAAAAACGGCAAGTGCTGGAGAATCCACCCCAACCCTTGGTAAATGATGCCAACCATTAATTACCCTCACACTGTTTAAAAACGTGCCTCTTATTTGTAGTTTGAATTTATCTAGCCCCAAATTCCAACCATGGAATCACATTAAGCCTTTTTCTGATCAATTACAGAGCCCTTTGCTATCAGAAACCTCCTACCCAGGTAGAGCTCACCCTTCTGTGGGATAAACTAGTCTTTAGTCCCTTAACATGGGCTGCACCGACTTCTGTATTGTGGTGTTTTTATCAGGAAGTTATGCAGGACTAAATTAAATGCCCCAGTCAACGCAGTCACCTCTATTAGCTACCCTTGTGATCTCCTCACAAACAGAACGATGTGGGGGTGTGACAAGACCTGCTTCCCACAGAGCCCCCCATGCTGACGGGCATTCATTCTGTTACTGGCTTTTCATGCTGTGTTGCCAGCATCCCGCATCAGCCTTCCCAGGGGTTTGCGGGGATCAGCGTCAGTCTCCCCAGTTTCCTGGGTCACCCCGCTTGGTCCCCTGGGAAGGATTTGCTGGTGCAGAAAAAGGCTTGGAAGATTAAATGAATGGGCTGTATTGCAGGGGTGCTGCATTGCCAGCTACTGGCTAACCCAGCCCCCCAATGCCGCTGTGCAATGGGTACTGCAGATGGGGCACTCGGGGACACAGGGTTCAGCTCCCCTTCAAAGGCAAATTCTAGATGATAAATGGAATAAAAACAGTGAAACAAAGTGGGCCAGACTCTGCTCGTAGGCCCTCTGGCGTCAGTCTGAAGTGACTCCATTCCCGCCCGTGTCACTGGGGTCACAAGCTCTCCCACTACAGGAAGGGGCCGGGAATTAAACCCAACCCTCCGGTGCCTCCCAAGAGAGGACTGAAAAGAGGCCAGACGAGCTCCCTGCAGAACAACACTCAAACCCGTCTCGGCCCTGCCACCATTTCTCAAGGCCCCGTGAACACTAACACGGAGCCCTTCGAAGCCCCGTGCCAGGGACACAGCCTCCCCGTGGCTGGGCTGACGGCAGGAAGAGTCACAACGGGGCTTCGTGCAGGGCCGCGGGGTTACCCAGACGCAAAGCTCCCGTGAAAGACACACACAGGAGTCTGAGTGGCTACGGAAGGGAGCCCCACGCAGCTCCTTCCCCAGCAGTGACACCGTCGGGCCCCACTCCTTCGGTACAGCAGAGCGCTCGCTGGAGTGGTGGCTCCTGGCGCTCACTTCCTAGTGCAGAGACCTGCCCGGGACCCCCCACAACCCCGAGTAGCTGCGAACAACAGCCGTGGTTCAGCTGGGAGCACAGTGGGGGCTGGCTCCTGACTTGCAGAGGAACCGCAGAGCGAGTTGCTGTTGTGTCCGCTCTGCAGGGACTAGGCGAGCCAGCAGTCCGGCTCCTTCCTCTCACTTTGTACAGACATGCGACAAATACAAGGGTAGGACTGTGCGGTCCATACACGGCACTGGTCACTTAGGACCCATCCTGCATTCTTTGGGCACCGAAACCCACGCTGGAGTCATACTGTACTTGCACAGTGGGTCGAGTTTGCTGCAGTCAGTGGGGCTGCCCCAGTTCAGGCCACCTTCCTTCATTCCGGGGCATCCTGATGCAATTTGCAAACTTTTCACCATTGACATGCAGCCACCTCTGGGGTGGAATGCGGTAGCTCCTTAAGAGCACTCACCCATTTCAAAGAATTACACCATGTGCAATGGCAGCTGCTGGAATCTGACCAAGACACCATGGCTAAAGCCACTGCGCTCACCGGGGTTTTTTAATGATCACCATCCTGGGCTTTACATCTCAGCGGAAAGACAGCGCCTCCAGGAGCATGGGGCTCCCTGGCATGTCACTGAGTGCTGACCCAGCAGAGCAGTGAAACACCACGCCCACGGCCTGCAGTACCGTCCTGATCTCTGGGGGCCTTTCACGCAGGCAGGAAATCAGAGCTTGTCTGCAGATAAAAGCTGTAGCATTGTACACCCACATGGGCTGGCGTAAGCCCTGCATCCACACCAGGCAGAACTAGTGCAGTGAACATCACAGCACTGATCCAGATGGTGTTAGTGGTTAAAACAAGGCTTTGCTCTGGCCCTGCTTAGCTCACAGGATTGGTGAGCATCACAGCACAATGCAGCCCTTCTGCTCCCTCCAGCCAGTCTCTCTCCTCTCTCTGGATGCCCACAGACACTGGTTTCATGGGGCAGGGTCCCAGCATCACGTCCTTGGGAGGATCCCTCCCTCCCCCCCCCTCGGCATGGACTGGGGTCCACCCACAGCCCTGCACAAGCCGGGAACGGCAGCCGTGCATCACCATCCTGCTGAGGCTTAGTGGGCTTGGCTCTGATCTAACCGCGCTGCCTCCTGACTGACACTCGGATCGTTGAGCCCAGACTCAGACCCCCGTGGACTCAGTCTGCTGGTGCCTGGCCACCACCTCGTTGCTCTTTCACCCCTTGGTTCTGCTAGTCCAGGGGTGGGCAAACTACGGCCCGCGAGCTGGAGCCACACCACATGGCTCGGCCCCGCTCCGGCCGGGGCTCTGGGTCGGGGGCCCGACCACGCTTGAGGTAAGTGCCGCTCGGAGCCTGCACCCCTGAGCCTCTCCCCACACCCCAACCCACTGCCCCAGCCCTGATCCCCCCTCCTGCTCTCCAAACCCCTCGATCCCAGCCCGGAACGCCCTCCTGCACCCCAAACCTCTCACCCCCAGCCCCACCCCAGAGCCCGCACCCCAGCCGGAGCCTGTACCCGTGCCCCAGCCCTGATCCTCCTCCCGCTCTCCAAACCCCTCGATCCCAGCCCCACCCCAGAGCCCGCACCCCAACACCAGTTTCGTGAGCATTCATGGCCCGCCATACAATTTCTATTCCCTGATGTGGCCCTTGGGCCAAAAAGTTTGCCCCACCCCCCTCCCGTGCTAGTCCCTCTGAACGAGAGAGGTGGTCACTGCCGTTCGGGGCAGGTTTAGCAGCTTCCCCGCAGAGCAGCCGCAATGGGAACAGGCCCAGCTCCCTCTCTTCAAAACATGCACAACACCCCAGAGCCACCTTAACCAAGTGTTTTGGCAGGCGGGGCAGCCCTCCCCGCCCGGCTAGATCTGCTCCTTTCCCCCACCGGAAGCCGGCTCCAGGCAGCTGCAGCTGCAGCAAGCACAGGAACTCAGCCAGACACAGCTGGGCACACACAACCCAAACTTGCTGATGAAGGCTGTTTGCAAGATTGGGCAGGCGGGTCAGAGCCAAGAGCGGCCTCCGGCTCAGAGCGTGGCAGGATGTGTTCACATGTGTACACCAGCAGCGGTGTGGTGGTGTGTTTAAATGCTCCAAGTTCCTGTGCACTGCTCTGATACTAGGCATCCGTGCCCGGACCGCTCCAATAATCCTCCATGGCCCTTGTGCAGCCATTGACCCAGTCCGAACGGCAGCGTTTGCAGCCCATTGTGCACAGATGTCATGACTGTGCAAGCAGCAAGGCAGCGGAGAATCAGAGAGAGAGGGGTGGTCAGAGCACAGGCCTGGGAGCCAGGACACAGGGGGTTCCCAGCTCTGAACCTGGCCCTGTGTGACCCCAGGTCGCTCACATGCAGCCAGACCTTTCCCAACACTTGGGTCTCACAATGTCTGGGTGCACAACTTGAGCCACCAAGATGAGGCAACTGAATTCAGTAGCTGTAAATGTAATGTCCATCTCCCAGGGCTGCTATGGCACATGCTGATTAGAAGGCATCTTGTGGCTGTTGCTAGATAGTAGAGAGACGCTCTCCGATCCGATTTGGGCACAACATTTAGGGTTTGTAAAAACAGGTTTTTTAAAACAACCGACAAAACTCCTAAGAGCAGTAGAAATGTTCTGTGAAGCTCAAAACAATTCCCACAGAAACACTTTATTAAACCAAACACCTGCAGCATTTGCAGCCCAAGCCTGGTGGACAGAGCGAAACTGTGGCACCGACAAGTTCATTTTCCAGCCACCAAGATGAGCAAAAAGGTTCAAGCGACGGACACAAATCCACATGGCACTGCAGGGCACTGCTGCCAGCCCTGCGCTTGGTGGCTGGTTCCCCCGGCACCTGGCATTGCAGCAGGAGGCAGTGCTGACAGCCGGAGCACACAACCATGGTGCCTGGGGACGGGCCTTGCTTCGACCCAGAGGAAAGGTTGGGGGGAAGCTGCTTTTCATCGCTTTAGGATTCATTGCTCCATGCACGTCACAT